AGTTGGGTGTACATTTGGAAATAGACGACCTGATCAGTCTCAAATAAATAAAAAAAAACTGTGTTTGCTTTATTTAAAACCACTTTATTTAATCACTGAGGAGCTGTTGTTGTAGAGAGAGGGTGAAACAACAACAACAACAAAAACAGAATTTTGCTTTTTAACACATCCCAGCTGCTGGTAGATCCTGCTACAGGTAGAAACATCAATGTTTTTCCTTCCAGCAGCCACTATTCATAACCACATGCCCGAGCAATGTAAATATAAAAAATATAGCACATTAAATAGAGTGGATTTAATTAATACATGTAAGACAAACTGATTGTGAAATCAAAGCAGTTTTCTAGATACGCGTCTCGCCATGTGTGTGTTTTAATCCCTGACATGTCACTGCTCTGTCTGGTGCTGATGAGGGCATACTTGTTGCAGCCATGTCTACGTCTGTGCACCTAATGGAGCATAGCGATGGCTCTGTGTGTGTGAGCACAGCTTATGTGCTAATAACTGTGTCATAAAATATGGAGAAGGGTAAAGTAGGCCAGAGGTTCACAGCAGGATGAGAGCTCCTCCCTTCCTTTTCTCCCCTTCTTTTGTCTCATCTCTTTCCTTCTAGCTGCTGTAAGGATGAACTGATGCACAAGAGTTCAGCTGAAGTCATGAGCATAACATCTGCATTTACATCATTTTGTTCATGTAATATTGGATTCTTCAGAAGTTATTTCAAAGAGATTTTTTCCTCATATATTTAGTCCAGGCTGGCTATTTTCACATGGATGTTTTGGTTTTTAAGAAAATTAACTTTAACCTATTAATTATTCATTCATGAAATAATGAATGAATAATAATTCATTCATTAGTTCAGCTTAAAAGATGAACTAGGTTTAGTAACTACCAGCATCCCATCATAGTTTTTTTCAGTTTCTTTAGCTAAATCCAATAAAAACATTACAGAGTTTTTTTGTAAAGTACCTTGAAACAACAAGTTTTTTGCGAATTGGCACAACGTAAATAAACTGAACTCAACAAGGGGAATGCATTTTGTAATTCAAAAGATGACCATTTTTGAATGGTCATCTTTTATTTAGTAAAAGAAAACATATGCATCTTTTCTGTGTGATTAATTACAAGATTTTCCAGAAACATTAATTTGGTTCTGAGACATTTTCTTTTGTCTTTGTTTTGTCTTTGTTTTTGTTTTTTTTGCTTTTCTCATTTTTTTTTAGCAACACTTTAAAACATGTGGTTGTGGTGACAAGAAGGCGACAAAGTGAGAGAAAAAACAGCCCAAATTCATACATGACCTTACAAAAATACTAATCTCTTTAATTTTATTTGCATTTCTTAAGTAACCATAATCTCTGGTATGTTTATTGTGATTTTATTTAATTATTAAATAAAGAAATGTGGAAAAAAGTTAAATCGATTTTCTACAATCTATTTAAGAGCAGGTGAGGAAGGAAAGGTTTATGAAAGTTACGCAGGAACAGAATCATTTGAAACAATTTTGTAGCTTCTGATTGATAGAAATAATTTACAGGTCATAAAATACCCACCCTGTTATTAAAACATAATTATTACACTTCATGATGCTTTAGTTTCTAGATCTGTACACTATAAAGACAATGCATTTTTAGTGAGCAGGTTGGTTCATGATATGAAACAAAAACTTGAGAAATTTAAGGTACACGTAATTTTCACATTGTAAAATGTAATAGCATTTTGGTTTTTTAAAATCAACATAATTTTAAAAATACCATCTAATTTTGAGAAGCTGCTTGTCATATTCTCTCTTAATGAAATCTAATAATATTGCACTGCTTCCTTCAGCAATAGTGCCTTTCATTGTTTGTTCAAACTTATTAGAAATACTTTCATCATCCTGCCTGTGCTTCTCAAAACAACAGAGCAAATAAATACCTGGATCAAAAGCGGATGAGGAACATTTTGTCTTCACATTTTATTAAGAAATTTTTTACAACAGCTATTTTTTGTCAAAAACAGACAATTAGATTTTCTCAAAAAGACACATTGTGCATTTCTTTCTTTTATATGCCCTTCTCTTTTCATGATTAAAACAATATGACATTGTGGTGACTGTGTTAATTAAAATTGTTCATTATTTTCAAACAGAGGATAAAGGTTTTATTAAGATTATGTTTGTGTTCATTAAAGGAAAGTCAGGAATGATTAAAGCCTGGCGGTGCGACGCCTGTCATGTTCATGTTCGACAATGACGAGTTCATCCTCATTACTGCTGGCCCAAAGTTACCATTGCATAAAATAGTTCTTTGTGTCTGAACATAATTAAATCATCTTTACCTGATTATAAAACCATTAAAGCTCAAGTTATGGAATAACAGATTGTTCAAAAAAAATGAAGTCATCTGGCTCAGTGTGCGTCTGTCAGTTAATGAGCAGCTTAAATTATGAGGTCAATCATTTAGTTTAATTAGATATGCGCATGTTTGCATATTGTTTTGTTTTCTGCAACTCTTGCAAACAGTGTTTGTGTTGCGAGGATGAAGGAAAACATTTTCTGTGAAGATATCAAATGGAACCAGATTGCTGTCAAAAGAAGAAGACGAGACTGAGACAGATGAGAGTTTTTTTTTTCTTTCTGGCAACATTTTATGACTCAATTCTCTTTGTAGAAGCAACACAGTTTAATGTCATTTAAATTCAGCCTCCTGACCTGCTTTTCACAACTCACTGAACATGTTTTCTTTTCTGCAAAACAATTCTCCCAAAAGCTAAACAAATAGCTTTCATACATGGGTACACATCTGCATACAAATGTCGTTATGAACGTGTATATGCAGCATGTTTCATTTATAATTCTTATAAATATGGAAACACACACACACACACACACACGCACACATGGCTGCAACATCCCCTGTTGCACAGCACCTCTCTCTTCCTTTTTGGTTTTCTGTGTGGAAGAATGCCTGCGACCCCCACTGCGATCATTACCCTGAGGGCCCTTGAGCATTCATCACCATGTGAGCAGACCCCCCATCTCCATAATAACCCCCTCTGCCGACCCATCCGCTTTGTTTGCTCCTCTCTGTCACACCATTAAGCAAAGCTTATTGTTTTGATGACGCTGAATTCCTCAGATTGTTATTATTATGCACAATATTAAGCAGCTTCCTCCTCCTCAGTTAGTCTAAGGATGAAGAATGATTAATTTTAGACAGAGCGAAATGCAGACTGAGATCCAACACTTAAATAAATGACAGAAACTTTGGAGGGAATCAAGGGAAGAATCTGTAAAAGTAGAAGAAGCTGTACGGAAAAAGGTCAACGTAGAGTTTGGATTGTTGAATGAGACGATGGAAATAATCTCAGTGATACAAAGAAGTGAAGGAAAATTGAAAACGTGTGAAGAAAATGTTCCCTGGAATGAAGCAAATAACCGTTTATAGAAAACAGAAAGGATTTCTTTTATTTTTCCAAAGCAAAGAAGGGAGAAAGATTAAAAACAGTCTGAAAATGAAAAACATTTAGGATGTAGAAGTTTGGACACGTAATGAAGAAATGCTAGGAGAAAGTTTAACATCGATCTAAAGTACGAAGGATTTTTGTATGAAAAAGTTTTAAATTGGAAGATTTTTAGATGTAGAGCTGCAAAGAATGCAACATCGCAATATTATTGCTAAATTCTCTCACTCTAGTCTTATTTCATATCGTCACGATGCACCGCCTGACCTGGGTTGGTAAAGATTATTTGTGGGTAAAAATGAAAGCAAAAGTCTCTCCAAGTGACGAAATATATCATTTTAGTGATGAAATCGATAAAATGTTGCATCTAAAATCTTGCATCCAAGCAGTTCTTTATAATACTTCACACACTCATATTCTGATGATCACTGAGATTTAATACACGTTGCAGCTCTTTGTAAACATAAGGAAAACACGAGCAACACATCTGTTTAAATGTATTGTCAGAGAAGGGAAGGGAAACCAGGAAGACATTCACTTCATTTGAAACATTTTAAATTAGTAAAGCTGATTAAAAAAACAATAATAATTTAGCCAATAAAATTATAGGAGCTACTGCTTCCCCCCCTCTAGGTCAGGGTTGTTGGCAGTTTTCCCTACAATCTTGTAGCATAACATAATGTTTCTTTAATAACAATACTTTTTATTGGTCTTCTGTAATATTCACACTCACTATGCAGCTGGAGGCAGAGCTTCAAGAACCACCACAGACTATAATAGCTATAACCATAAAAATTAACATAAATTGTGTTTTCCGCATCTGTGTTTCTTGGCCAAACTTTTTCCTTCCACTCAATGTTCTCTTGACATTCCTGAAGTTTACAATCTGTAAATTGTTGACATAAAGAAAAAGCAATCCCTGTTGCATGTGTAACCTTTTCTGCCACACTTTTTTCCTTTCACTCAACTTTCCACCTTTTTTGGGACGTTCATCCTTGTGAATGATAGAATGTTGCTCTTTATGATTGTGTAAGGCATGACATGAATATCATATCATTTTGGTTTAGCAGATAAAAAAATCCTCTTCCCACCACCCTTACAAAAATCCATATAATATCTAAATTTCTTCTTTTTTATTGTGTTGCTGAAATAAATGAACCTTTCAGCACATTATCCATTGATACTCTACATGTAAAAGACTCAACAACTGACTGAACCAGCCTCCTCAGATAAACCACATTCAACATGTTCACTTAGGTTTTGTTACTGAAATGAAGCAGCTAAGATCAAATGTAACCATTTCTTTGGCAAGAATTGTACAAACTAATATGCTTCATTACAAAACTGAAAGAAATTTAATCCCTAATTTTAATTGTACAGCAAAATTTCCTTGTATGCCATAAAAGTGTCATAAAAGAAGTGCGTAAGATGAGTGACAGTGATCAAGTTTAATGGATGGAGAGAAGATGAGAAGGTGGAAGCGGTCTTGGGAAAAGAAGGGAGGGAAGAAAGGAGGAGGTGGGATGAGGATGAGGGAGATGAAGAGGAGGCGCATCAACAGTCTCCCCCCCTCACCCCCCTCCTCAGACGATGAGAAGGTTGCCGAGCGCGCTGCAGACCGCCGTGCGTTTGTCTCCCTCTCAGCCACACAAAGTGCCCCAAAAAAGCACCGATCCGAACCGTGACTGCTCTCTGTGCCACCTCGGAACCAGCAGCCCCATCCGCCCCCTCCTCCAGCACATTCTGTAGCAATGGAGCCGTAAACGCTGCCACAGAGAGCTGAGCCGAGTGAGTGAAACAGCGGCGGAGACGCAGAGATCAAGCGGCTATGGAGGAGAAGCGCGGAGAGCCTGGAGTCTAGACAGAAACCCTCAGATCCATCAGTCCGGAATACTTTCCGCAAGCTTTCCGAACTTTGCTGTCAATAATCTTTTTGGAAAAAAAAAAAAAAAATCCAGGTTTTTATTTCACTTTTGACCGTGTGAGCGTAACATTGCACAAGAAGGATGCAGGGAAAGAAGAAAGCGAGCGGCTGCACTGGATGCTGGAGGCAAATGCTGCTGTCGTGCGTCCTGGCTCTGCACCTGATCCCGCTGAGTGTCCACGGTAAGACGCTGGTCCGTCCACTGCGCGCGGAAATCACGCTAAAACATTCTCATTAATTAGTTAATTTTTTTTCCTGCTGTCGCAGCACATCCTCTCAGTGGATTCAGGGTACCGTAACACACTCCCACCGGGCAGACAGAAGGGAGGTCAGTGAGGCTCAGAATGTAGGTTAGGAGGTTCTTTACTCTGATGGTCATATTCATGAACCTCTGCTCGGAGGAATCTGCTAAATTCTTCATCATAGCGTCTTTGAACTGACACTTGATGGAAGAAGATGTCTTTAATCACATTCTTCAAAGATCCAGAGAGCAAACATCGTCTGTTTTCTTGATTTATAGAAGGCAAAGGATGATTTTTTTACAGTAAAAAATCCACGAGATCTAAAAATATTCCACAAATGATAAAGTAGGTCAGGTTAAAGACTTGAGGAACCCAATCGATATCAGATGAGCAACATATTACTGTGCCATTGTGTGCAAAAGTCACTAAAATATATACATCAAATCTTCTGAGATGGTTCTTTCACTTTTCTCCGTTCCCACGGATAAATCAGATTCAGTGGTGGAGAGATTCTGATGTAGGAAAAGAAAGATAGCTAGTGAGGAAGATCTACATGTTTTCCAAATATCATCCTAATAAGGTCAGGAAGCTTACAGCTGCTTCTCTATCAGCTCATGTTGAGTTCAGCAGATGCTTCTATTGTGTGAGATCTACATTTCCGCTAAATTCTCCTAACTGAAGGAATAGCAGTGGATCAAAGCGGTGGCATTTCAAACCAGGTCACTGTTTTAACACTTCCGGCACAATCTCCAGAATCCAAATGTCCCTGAAGGAGCCTGAGTTTGTGTGACAGTGACAGCGTCCAGCAGCAGATGCAGCAAAGCGGATCCCCGAAGGCGCGCAGGCACCGCGGCTTCACAAAAGGCGAGGATTAGAGCCGAGGGGGAGCTGATGAATTATTCATGAGGGGGGCTGAGAGGACATTCTGATACACACACAGGAAAAAAAGAAGGAAAAACTCGAGTAAACATGGAAAAAAAAAAAAAAAAACGACACAGGGGCCGTAGCTCTTTGTCTGAGGGCCGCTGCACATGCGTCAGATTAATAATGCAGGAGATGAAATCGGTCTGGCGTTATAATCAAATAAAATCTCGTTGATTCGTCCGAGCGGCTAAAATTCACATGGATGTGGTTTTGTTGATATTGTCTGGTTTATTTGGCGCAACAAAGATCCACATCCACTGACTCAACAGGGAAACATGGCATTTCTTTCAGCTTTTACTTCACTTAATCCAGTCATTTCGTAAAGTGTATTTCTAAAAAACAACAACAAAAAAACATTAAATATTGTTAGAAAGGTTTTATAACAGTTCAAATAATATTTTGGAATTCCTGAAAATGTTCTATATTCACCAAAATATATTTGCTGACTTGAACAGACCAAATTAAAGATGCTCTGCTCAGTTTGAAGGTTGAACATGTTGCATAGCTTCTCAATATCTACATTTGACGCAAATGAAAACAATGACAGAAAAAAAATCTGAATCACAGTTGAGAAAGAGAGGAGTGGACTCTACTTTCAACAGACATAATGTAACTGCATGATTTTATAACATGAAGCTCTATTATCCCACTTTAGCACAGAGTTAGCACTCAAGGCAGTAACTGGAACTTTGTGCAAATTTAATTTCACTTACCATTTAAATATCATGGATTTCTCAGCGCTGGAGGCATGTTTTGCTTTCAAGTTTAAGATGAAAGGTTCGGATCTTGAAGGCATCCTGTCTCCTTTTGCTGCTAAGAACTTTAGAGGGACTTTTGCTCTTAATAGTAGCTCCAAAGGACATGCAAAATATGTCTAAGGGTAATTTTTATATACTGTGTATTATTTCTGCAAAGAAAATACACAGTATATAAAAAAAACAACCTTCCAGATGCTTTATCTGGAAGGTTTGTTTTCATATTTAGACATGCTTTATGTTGGTCTAGATTAAGTATGTGTAATATTATGTGTGTGGGATTTGTATCAAGACATTGGTGTAATGCATTAGATTGGAAGCTGCTTGAGGTTGACTTACAACAATAATCTATAAAGGGTTAAATAATCATTAAAATGTTCAGCTGTTTTAAGTTAATGTTCTTTAAAACTCTAAATGTAAACCATATTTTTATATCATCTAGAGATAATCAAAATGTAGCTTTATTAGCAGCCAAGCTCATGCTTCTCTTTGCTTAACTCTGTTGTGATCCTTTCAATTATTCTACAAACCAGCAGTTTTACAAATACCACTTTATTAGTTTGGCAGAAGGAGAAGTGCTGCTAAAATTCCCTCTCAATGACAGAAAGAAGGCAGACCTGGTTGTCCAAAACCGGGTCAATAAGATGGAGATTCCTTCACTGCTTTAGGGATAGTGCAGGATATTAAAATAATACAATCCACCGTCATCATCTTAGTGTCAGTTTGAGTAAAAGTTTCCTCTCCTTGTCCTGTGTTTTTGTCACTTGTCAGATTTCAGCTCAGGTGCATGTACAGTAAGAACAAAAAGAAGCTGGCAGATTTGGTGCAGACAGCCACCTTGGGCTAACCCTCCCCCCGCCTCACATCCCACTTTTCTCACCCATCAACACGTCTCACTTCACCGGTGGAGTGTAGAGCCGGCAGCTTGCCCCACATCTGCGAAGGACAAAAATCCAACCATGCTGAACTGACAGCGGACAATCAGAACCCGCTCGTTCTTTTCCTCCATCCATTTTCCCCCCCTCTCCTCTTCTTGTGGCCATTTGTAATCCCCCTCCCTCTGTATGCTTAGAGCTGATGACATGCAGCCGTCCTCCTCCTCCCCATCCCCCAGGAGCGGTTGAGGCGGATGGGTTGATGGCTGGACTGAGGAGGATGTCTGCTGCTTGTGTTTGGACAGAAACTCGTGGATGTGTTCTCCTCTCCTCCTCTTCTTCGCTGTGTGTTTGCTCCTCTGTCCTGCTGACACACATATCTGGTTAATCTTTAAGCCAAATCCTCCCTCCATCAGCCCACTAACCCACTCTGTCCCTTTTCATCGTAAAGGATATGAAAAAAATAAAAAAAGCATAGACAGCAATCATAAAATTTACTCATCTTGCAGTTTGTGTTCGTAGTCATGAAGAATAGCGATGCACGTGCCGTCTCGGCTTCTTCCTTGGGGTCTCCATGGAAACCGTGCACATCCAGTCGCCAGCAACTCAGTGTGTTCATATCGCTGCCATGATGTGTTTGAGCAGTGAATTTCATTAAGCAGAGAACGTTTGGATTTTGGCACATGCTCACATTTCTGGTCAAACTGGGTGGCTGTGTGCCTGTTGGGTCTGCATGGTGTGTGTGTGTGTGTGTGTGTGTGTGTGTGTGTGTGTGTGTGTGTGTGTGTGTGTGTGTGTGTGTGTGTCTCGAGTACACAAACAGTTTCAAATCAGATGGCCTTATGGGTTTTGTCACATTTTTGGTGAGACTTTTTTGCGTGGTCACACTCTGATTTTTAAGACATGTTGACATTAACATTGCTTCAGATGAAGCATCACGTTTTCTGACGTTTGCTGCCTAACAGATTTCTTTTGTTTTTGCTTTCTTTTTGTCATCCTTCATATCAAAAAACATATTTTAATGTCAGATAATGATATTTTGAGTAAGATCAAAAGTAGTTTTCAAAGGATAATTTCATTTATTAAGGGAACAAACAATTGCCTCCTAAACCTAAAGACTTTTTGTGCGACGCTGCCAACAGCTACCATCAAGCATTTACGAGTCTTTCTGCTTCGCTGTGGAGGAAATTTGGCTCACACTCTGCTTCACAGAATTGCTTTAGTTCAACCACAACAGAGCGTGTTTGAGCATGAATGGGATGTTAAAATTCATGCTTCAGCATGGACTTTGACTGGGCCACTCCAAAACGTTCATTTCTTTTGAGCCACTCAGAAATGGCCTTTCTGTTGTGCTTTGGATCCCATTTTCATACTGACTTCTTTTCTAGACTGTTCTTAAATCTTTCTATTGAGATCTTATCACCTACTTTGTGTTGTTATTTGTTATATAAAACTTATTAATGTTTAATTTTTTTTCTTTTGACTTGTTGGATTAGTTTACGTGCTTATATTTTGAAAATGAAAAAGTTCCAGCAGTGAGGCTTGTTGACAGATGCATTTGGAAAAACCCAACTTTACTAAACTCTACTAAAAATACACTGAGTGATGAATTAAAAGAAACTATAATCGCTATAGCGACTAAACAACCAAAACAACTGAGCTAGCTGGAAATTTAGATGCTTTTTCATTCTGAGATACATGTAAAAAGAAGGAATAATATTTAGATTTACTGTGAATATAATGTGCCTCATTCCAGTACATCTGTTTGTTGGGAAACTCAGTGATCCTAACGCCACTTGCGCTACCGTCCCACCTGGCTCTGCCTGCAGGCCTGCAGACGTAGGTGGCCACAGAAGAGAAGCTGTGGTGTATTTGTTTGAGTGCATGAAGGTGTGTTATCCTTTTAGTGCAAAGTAAGTACACAGCTCTGCCAAATTAAAAAAAATAAAATCACAATACACACTTTAAAATGTTGCACAGATATACTCCATATTGTCAAAAGTATTCACTTACATTTACTTGAGTAACGTTTTGGGAAAAAAAGGACTTTTTTATTTTTACTTGAGTGCTTTTCTTACGAAGCATCGCTTCTCTGACTTGAGTAAACTCTGGTTATTCTGTCCATGTGAGTAACTTCACTGAAGGAAGAATAAACATGTTTTAACGCAAATAATCACTAGACACAGACGCATACCTCCAATTTTTGTGAAAGTTTCATCAGTTTTATATTAAAAAAAATTTATTTTCATTTTTTTTTTCTTTTGTCTGATTTTGTCATTTTGTAATTATGTTATTAATATGAATTATTTTCACTTTGGTCCTTGAACAACATTTCCACATGGCTTTGGTCCTGATTATGTAAATTTTAAATGATTTACATTTTGAT